TAGGTGGACCAATTAAATATTAATTAATTAATTACGATTTATGTCGCTAGCCTGCACTTTATTTCGTTTTATGTTAAAAACAGTCAATTTTTAACAACATTTTTGACAACGACAAGGTGGCGAATTCAATCTTATAAGCTATAAATATATGAACAACTGGTACAACTATAGTTTGAGACTCGGAAAATGATAGTTTTCAACCGCTGTACCTATTTGATTGGAATTCAAATGGAGTTTTAATCACTGAAACCTCACGGGAATGGATAGATACTATACGGGTATAATCCCCGTGGGATTGTTTATTTTTTGAAATCACGCAAATAAACAACATTTTACAATAAATATAACTAAATTGATTCTGATGAGTGTTGTTACACAGCATTGCAATTAACCTTGGAAAAGACTAATTTAAATATCCAAAATTTGCCAAAAGTTATTATTATAGGCGGACGAAGTCGCGAGGAACAGCTAGTAAATATATAAAGTGTAAATGTATTTAAATGTGATCGAACGCCCTTACAATTTACATTAGATACACAATCTACATACATATATCTGCAATAAAATGGAAATTTTCAATAATCCTTGCATTCAGAACAGTCATAATGATTGATGACAAATCTTTTTATTATTAACTAGCTGCTGGACCCAGCTTTGCTCAGGTGCCTCCCTAACATTCCCAGTAATTATATTGTTCTCTAAGAATTGGATAAATTAAAGCATTAAGTAGGTAGGTAATAGACTGCCTCGTTGGCCGAGTGGTCGCAAGAGCGACTCCCGGGCAACGGGTCTCGGGTTCGAATCCCGGGTCGGGCAATGTATTACTGGGATTTTTATAGCACGAAGTCTGGAATTGTACCCGGTATATAGTGAAAAATATAGTATTTAGAATTTTCGTCTGTTTGTCTGTATATATGTCCGGGATGAATTTAAAAAGTGTTGCATAAATTTACTTAAAATTTATTGAATATTACTAACAGGTTAGGTCAACATATAGGTTACATATTGTTACGATATCATTACGGGGAATGAGCTGTGAATCACTATTCCACGCGGACTAAGTCGCGGCCACAGCTAGTATACATATAAACAATATTGTAGTCAATACAGCCAGTCACTCCGTATAATAGCTGAACGTTTCAGAGGTTTTGAAGCGCATTAGGAGCCTTGGGTGGCTATTCAATGCGGAGTTAGCATTGGAATTATGACCCTTGAAAGATCTTCAATAATGGCGACCAATTTTATGAAGCGTCGTCGCGTCGTGTCGTGGTCATGAGTGTGATTTTCGTAGAGTTCATAATAAAACTGCGACTGCCTAACTGGCCGAGTGGTCGCAATTGCGACTGCCGTGCAAAGGGTTTCAGGTTCGATTCCCGGGCCGGGCAAAGTATTACGGGGCTTTTTCAAAAATCTCAGTAGTAGCACGGAGTCTTTAATTATGCCCGGTATATGGCAATAGGCTCATCACCCCCTATTACATGGGACTCAAAACATAAACAGTGAAAAGTGGGTGTTACATTGTACAATGGCATTACGTGCCGTAATGTGCACCTCTGCCTACCCCTCCGTTGATAAAAATGCGTGATATTATGTTATGTATGTTCTAAAAATAGCAGGGAAGCAGAGACGAATACAATTCACCTTCCCTAGTCTTCTCGGGTATTTCGAAATAGTGAGAGACTTGACCACGGTTTACAGACGTTTGACTGCACATTTGATGCGGTGGCTGGGCAACCGGTTGCCGCGCAACGTGTTGCGGGTTCGATTACCGCACGGAGCCACTCTTTGTGTGATTCACAAATTGTTGTTTCAGGTCTAGGTGTCATGTGCGGCGGCCCACTCGGGCGCTGCTCAGATCTTACAGGGTCATGGCGATCCGATTGATCCGCGGATATCGCACGATGTCCGGGGAGGCGGCGAACCTCCTTGCCGGATTACCGCCGTGGGATCTAGAGGCGAAAGTGCTCGCGAGCGTGTTTTGTTTGCGCGCGGAGGCACGTCGCCGGGGCGATACACCGCTGCCGCGCCAGATTAGTGCGTGGCGGGATGAGCTCCGGCGCGATCTCATGGCGGAATGGCAGCAACGACTGTCGCAACTGAAGGCTGGGTTCGCTGCCATTGCATCGATAAGTCCCCTCTTTGAGAAGTGGCATGAGAGACGCTACGGCGTCCTCACCTACCGCCTGACGCAGGTGCTTACCGGACACGTAAGTTTCGGTAGGTTCCTGTTTCGGATTGGACGGGAGGAAACGCCCGGGTGTCTTCACTGCGAGGATTGCCCGGAGGACACGGTGGAGTTCTGTCCTTAGTTTTAGTATCGTCACGGCCTGTTGATATCCAATAATGATAATGATTTATGGTAATTGGCAACAGCCTTTCTCCGAAACCGGACACAATACGAACTCCAAGCATACATTTGAGAATTTAATTATTCAATAAAGTAATTATTGCGCTCTACCTCTGCGTATTCCTTCGGGAAAACGACCGTAAAGTATAAATAGAAGTTACGTGAATTGAAAAGTTTTTAATGTATTTACTGAAATCGTAACTTTGCAGGTAAGTAGCTAACAGAATTGGGGTATTGTAGGGAAAATTGCCGTGGTGGCTCGAAGGTTAAGACGCCCGCTTCTCATGCATGATGTGCGTGTTCAAACCCTACCAACGGCAAGTACCAATGTGACTTTTTCCGAGTTATTTGTACCTAAGATTATTCAGACACCACTGACAAACGGTGAAGGAAAACATCGTGAGGAAACCTGGGGTTATCATTTCTATTTATAAGTTTGAAATCGCCAACCCTCATTGAGCAAGCGTGGTGGTCTCCGTATGAAAAGAGGCAGCAGTTTTATTCAGCAGTGGGCATCAAGCTGTTGGTGTGATGTGAGGGAAAATTGCTAAACACACATCAAGTTATACATAACCAGTATATATAATCTTTGAGTATGTACTCAAAGATTGAATGAATGTTCATTCGTTTTATAATGCTTTATGTAACCGTGTATAGGTACCGTCTTCGAATCTAATGCTGAACCAAAATTTCGAGATATCGTGTGAAATGCAGAGTTTTGGAAGTGTTCTATTGCTAGTGAGTATATGTATATTATTTAGTAAGGATTTGTACGACAACGTGATTATGTTTCATACAGTGTGTTCGAAAAACATTTCGTTTAACCAACCCATCTAGACTCTAGTTTCAGTGCTTACATAGTTTAAAAGTTTAAACTTTCGCTCATCCTGTTAAACAAACGTCGAACCCTAACTAGAAATTACAATTTAACTGAAAGGGTGCAAAACAGCGGTTTAGTTTAGTCTAGTCTAGACAGGAGAGAAACTAAACATATTGATACAAGTAGACAAGTTAAGTTGTTTTAACTTTCAACTAAGCGTTGGAAACTAACTTATACTTGGGAATAAAGAAACGGAGCCACAAGCGTTTTTTCTTTTTTACCGACTTCAAAAAAAAGGAGGAGATACTATGTTCGGCTGATTGTCTTTTTTGTGTTGTTGTTCGCGCAGTACTCCGCCATTTGTGAACCGATTTCGAAAATTCTTGCTTTGTTTGAAAGGGTATAATACTCCCGAGATAGTTCCACTTCCATGAGGTCAGGATCTGATCATGGGATCCTATGGAAAATGAGGGGAACTTTCGAAAATTTTATGGGCGAGTAATGCGTCTATTATGTTTTTCAATTACGATTTTTGTTCTTGATAAATATTTTCTAATACAAGTATTTTATTACTTGACAAGCTGACCCGGCAAACTACGTACCGCCTAAATTTTCTCAACATTTATTTTTATGGCATAAGCCGGTAAACGAGCAGACGGATCACCTGATGGTAAGATAAAAATAGAATCAGCATTTTGGGTTTAATTTGGGCGGATTTTTATATTTTTTTTTAATATGTCCAGGTATTGATTTTAATTTCAATACATAGTTTGAAAGTTGGTAAAAGAAGGACATCATAGATGTCTTATTTTCAAGTTTATTTTTCTTTTTGCTGGTAAAAGCAAACGTTCCGAATATGTTTTGTAGCTATGACAGTTTTTGTAGGGGTTAACAATGACAACTGTGACAGAAGTGTTGTAGTTGACGTAACAATTATTTTTTATCAATGATGCTCATATGTCCAAGGCACGTCTAAGGCATAGGTCTAATAACATTCCAAAATATTTTTTTGAACGTCTTTGATTGTGATGTGGTGTGTCGTTTACATTATTTTATCATAGAATTTAATCTTTTTTCCGAGTATTTTTAGAATTCTTGTACAAAGCACAAGTATTTCGTTTTTGTCTGAAGGCAACGGAATTTAATGTAGGTGTTCTGAATTCCAGCTTACACGTTATGAGAATAGCAAAGGTACTTCTAGTAGGTACATATCTCTATATTATTGCTGAGTGCTTGAATGTTAACATTACAAATAGAGATAAGCACACACCAACACACTATACATTTTAATATAAATATTCTATGTACTATATACTATACATTTTAAGAATATCCACTTACATTTTGCACTAACCCACTAATATATTATATACTTTAAGTACTTACCTATATTCCGAACAAATCAATCAATATTAAAAAAAAATGTTAACCAAAATGTAATTTATATTAAGATAGTGACACCCCTAAAATTTGCAACGCCTGAAAAAGGCGCGTTAAACTGTGCCTGTTATTTCATAAGACCTGTAATGACCTGTATGTATTACCTTAACATGCAAACAAAGACATTGAGTTTGAGTCATTCAGTATCGTAATGTAAAAATATATTCAAATCAGTGATAATCAGGTTAATGTCGACCAAGCGATTTTGGGATTCGCTCTGGGTCGGACAAAAGTAGATATTATGTACCTATGATCACTCGATATCCACTCGGATATAATATATACATATTTTTGAAAGTTCTCATTGTGCACACGGAGTGAGCGAGTTTGGAATTTGCAGGACGCACGTAAAATAAAAATGCACTCAATAAAAAAAACTATTTATTTATTTCATTATTCGGGGTCAACTGTTATTTCTAAAAAGGCTCTTACTTCGTTGATAAGTTTATAACTTAAATCTTCGGGGAGGTCACTTATTGCATCTGTTAAATCTTTGAGTAGACTTCGAATCGGACCGCTTAATCGTTTTCTTGTCCTTTGCCATCCATAGAAACTTTTCATGAACAAATGGAACGGATCAAAGCTGCTTTTCCCATACACATGATCCATGTCTGACAATATTACATGAACTAACTCCACGTCTCTTCCGTTCACCATATGTGTCTTTAACTGTAACGCATTCAGTCTGTCTTCTACAGCTTTGTGTATAGACAGCAATACTCCTTTCGCTGACACGCTGTCGGAGTATGCCATATCGTTCAGTATGATCTGCAGCTCATTAGAAGTTTCTTCAGTTAAATGAGAATATAATTTGGTTTCCAGCAGTGCTTCGGAAACATAACGAATAAATAATTTCACATTTTCCTCTTCCATTTCTTTAAACGACCCTAACAATGTCTCCAGGGTCTTCGTGACTGCAAAAGCTTTGACACATACGTGATATTCTGAACAGAGCTTGCTCTCATACTTCCCCTCAACTATAGAAGTGGCGATGACCGTCTTCTGGGTCAATTTCTTCTTAACCTGCTCTATTTCGTCAGGATTGCCCTCAATCCTTTCCGCGGCAAGTAGAATCGCTGCTGTTTGAAACATAACACTTATTTTTTTAATAACTTCAACCCACAAGTAAGAACTACTTTCTACTCTTAATTTCATATTAATGTGTCTGAGTAGTTTCCTTATTTCGCGTAAACATTTCTTCAATTCTTCAAATATCAACGGCTTTTCCATTTTTGGTTGTTCGTCAGTCAGGTGTTTTTGGTTAAAGATTCCTTCAAAAATGGTTTCTATTGATTTCGTTTGTACCATAATGTATTCATTCAAGAATAGCTCTAATTCACCCTCACAAAACTGGAGGTCTCGACATAAGTATGCAGATTGGATAATGATGTAAATAACGTCGGTTTCTTTAGAGAATGGTATCGACCGTCGCCCCGACGCCGATGCAGCGGCGCCGGCGCCGGCGTTTCTCCGCATGTAATGTGATATTGTATCTATAACTTCTTTACCGAAGCTGACTGACCCTTGCATGTTGACTTTAACCGCATCGTTGAGGTATATTATTGCTGTAAAACAGTTAAGGATATGAACAAAGTTAAAGTTGGTATGTACCTTACTTCTACTATAATATAACTCTAAATTGAATTAGATTCAAATTAAGATAAGGGGCATAGCTAATATTGCATATTAAAGAAAAAATAAATAAAACACTCACCAAAAACTACAAGCAAAATCTTTATGTAATCCATGACGAAAATAAAATACATTTTTGATAAAAACTAAATAACATTTTGTTTTAGTACTCATAAAACAGTTGACGCTTTCCTTTCTCCTTAAAATATATTTCAAAATGGAGTCGTGATTCAATTTGATGGTCGTAAGCAGTAAAAGCGTAGTAAACAGGTTTAGTAGAAGACGCAAAATAAATAAAACATTTGTTTCAAAGGATACTAAAAATGCTTCCCAAGTTCCCTACCGAATTGTATCTCGAACTTTTAGGTCTTGAATTTGGTTACTTTAATGTTTTTGTAAAAGCTAGGTACTGAGTACTTATTTAATTTAGATAATACCTAATGTAGTTATATGTAGACGTAGATAAACGTTACAAGATACACCTTTGAAATTCTTCTGGGATTGAACTAATTATCCATGGCACGCATGTTATACTGATAAAAGTGTCATCGTTAGACTACTGTGCATGGTGTGACACCTTAAAATGTTGTGCATTTAAAATTTATTACAATGTAAGTGCTTAGATATAAGACCTAATGTAGCAACTACTGGTTGTCCATACTATAAATAAATAAATAAACTGGCTCAACAGGAATTACATTAAGGCCTCTTAGAAAACCATCGTGAATGGTCTCTACTGCTCACTAGATTGCGCTAGTGAGAAGCCCCCATTGGACGTTTAATATTTAACCACTATTGTGACTATTGTGATTGGACTAAAAATATGTTCATACATTTGCGTCATCGGTTGACCAAAAATACGGCAGCCCATTAACGTTTGCATTCACCATATTTTAACTAAAATTACGGATTAAAATGGGCTACCAATAGTCTAATAAGTTACCTCTCTTGTGTTGTGTTGCTAGTGCTATCACGTTTGCAAAAAAGAAAAGACTCATTTTTAAAACGTTCATAAAAATATGTGCGTGACATTTAATGAATGTCCTTTTCAATATCTGAATATGTATTTTTTTTTTATCTAAAGAACTAACCGGCTGACTTAGAAACCGTTGGGCCTATATTCAGCGACGCGCATTTTTAGGCTGATATGATGAAACTGAATATTATTATACAATCGTTATAGTTGATTTTCTATCCGAATAAAACTTGCAGGTTTCAAAGAAACAAAACGACACATGATTTTCATGAGTAAACGGTACTTAAGTCGAACGACTAATCGTATTTTTCGTTTCGTTATTAATATTATTGTTTATACACGCTGACATATTGATGGTTGTTTTCCCGCAGCAGAACGATTTCCCTTTAGTAGTACTATCGAATAATGCAAGTTACTTTTTGAAAAAATATTTTTTTTTCTCCTCATATACTCAAAAAAATAATCATCAACTCGAAAGCATGAGAAACGATAGTTTCTCTTCTAAAATGTGACGTCAAATCAATGTTCATAGTAAAATAATCTCTCGGACTAAGTAATACAGCATAAACTGCAATGCACGCGCGCGCGAGCGGATCGCCTCACGACAAACAACAAAGGCAACCACCGCGCTCTCTGTCACTCGCATCGGCCCGCATCGCCTTGCACCGCTTTCATTCACACCAGTCGCACCGCGAACGCCGTCCGCGCAACCACGCAAGCGCAGTACAATATTATTGCCGCCAAAATGGATCGCCATTACGTTTTTTCTAATGTGGAGTACGTAGCTATGGTGCAATTGTACGCGAGGGCGAATTATGATTTTTGGGCTTTTAATAACCCACACGTTATTCGGGAATGTGCGCATCAAGTGCGGTTTAGTGTAAACGTGTGGGCCGGTATAATAAACGGCTGCTTAATTGGTCCGCATTTTGTGACAGGACACTTAACCGGTGAAACGTACCTACAAATGCTACGTAGTGTTATCCCGGACTTACTAGATGACATTCCGTTAGCAGTGCCCATGGATGGCCTGTATTACCAGCACGATGGTTGCCCTGCGCATTATCAGCGCGCCGTGCGAGAGCACCTCGACTCGGTGTTTCCCCAGCGTTGGATCGGTCGTGGCGGGCCAGTGCCATGGCCACCACGAAGCCCGGATCTTACTCCACTAGACTTTTATTTGTGGTCTAATCTCAAACGCCTTGTGTATCGGCAAGAGTACGAAACTCGCGACGCGTTAAAAAGTGCGATAGTGGACGCTTTTGATGTGATTAGACGTGACAGAGACACATTATTAAAATTGAAAGCCAATCAGTTAAAACGTGCACGATTGTGTGTGGAACGCGGTGGCTTACACTTTGAACAATTGCTCCGTTACCGGGAAGTGTAAGTACTTGTACATTTGTAAATAAAACAATAAGATAGGTGATTAAAATCATTGTAAATACGTTGATTCCCATTTTTTAAATACGCCATAAATACTTTCCCAAATTCAGTAATAAACAAGATAATATCTCTTGATTAAATTTTGTTTTATGTTTGTGTTTAGTAAGTGTAGTTAAAAAGTATTTACGACGGTCCTAAGCCCGTTAAAGTATGAAGGGAAAATGGAAATCACTTGTTAGTAAATACTGAGTTATCAGCCTTTTGATAAGCGCGAGCGACAATGACAGCGGCCGGTGGCCGGTCGCGGCGGTACTATTGGTTCGCGGTTTCTTTCAAGTTTCGTGTATCACTATCGTAAAACTGCTATTTTTTTATTTAAATTAAAAACAACTTTCTCAATCTATTGTACTACTAAAATAGAATCATTTTACTGTGGGAAAACAACCATTAAAATATCACGGTGTATATCCTTACAAAAATAATATAGGTATTATGTTCTATTAACCTATTATTATAGTGATACTACTTCAAATATTTCAATTTTCTACAGCGGCACAACCTTGTGGAATTAATATAAAATAAATAAATAAATAAATAACTATTGTACAAAAAGTCTCAAAAGACAAGAGTCCGAGTTAGTCTTTATGGATCATTGGTTGTCTGTGGCAACGTTTACGTTTGACATTTCTTTCAGCTGTCAAACCTTTTTGTTTCGGCCATTTTCGCCGAACGTTTGGTGTTCGCTTTAGGTCACGTATCTTTTCGTGGCCTTTAGATCACATAAATAAAACTCTTTCAAGATGGTGCAGAAGAAGGTAAAAGCCATGTGCGTTTAGTAAACTACTATATTTTCGTTGTAACAAGTGATTTTCTCGCGAAGTTTACACCATAACATGTTTATGGAACTATCAATGTTTTTGGCATCAATGCTGATTTATTTTGATATATCCAGGTATTTCAAGTCAGTGGTGCATTAACATATTGTAAAGACGTAAATTAATCAACGAGTTAAACTAATTTTATTGTGATTTCAAGTCATTGTTGTAAATAAACTTAACATAACCTCAAAACTTGCCATGATGTTAACTTTATACTGAAGTGCTATGATTACCTACAAATTATCACCAAGATCGCTGAAGAGAATGTGTAAATCAGTTTGTTGAAGCCAACACGTCAGCATAGTTTACAAAATTGTTGTCATTTCAGCCCAAGAAGAAGGTAGGCAAGAAAGTAGCGGCCGCACCTCTGGTCGTGAAGAAAGTAGAACAGAAGAAGATAGTGAACCCTCTCTTTGAGAAGAGGACCAAAAACTTCGCTATCGGTGAGTTTATTTTACATAAATTAACATTGTGAATCAGTTTTTATTTTACGAAACAGAAATATTTCGCATTGTTTCTGTGTACCAGTTCCATATTCAGTTGAATCGAACATAAAATCTTGACATTCGAAATATGAAATAAATGTGTTGTCAATATTGGCGCCTGGCGGTAAATATTATAGAATTGGACTAAAATGATGTAAACTTTAATCCGAATAACCATGTGGTTACAAATTATACGAGCTTTTTAACACTGATTAGTCCAAAATCTATGAAACAGGTACTGGTGTGTTGAACATAACCTCCAAATGTTTATTGTTATTACTGTTCTGCTGTTTTTAAGTGCACTTTTACATTGTAAAGTTTTTAAATTGGTACAAACTCTTCATCTAAGTGCAGGTCCTGCTAACCATAATTATAATACTGATACTAGATGAGTGTAACTCGCAGAAGTTCACAAGGAAATTAGAAATAAAAATTTTATGTGTTCATAAAAACTTTTAACTATAATGTTCACACTAATCACTAGTAAATTAAGCCAGGCAGAATGCTAAAGTTATCAATAAAAATGTAAATTCCACAAACTGTAATCTAACAATATTCTATTCCTAGGTCAGGACATCCAGCCCACAAGGGATCTGTCTCGCTTCGTCAGATGGCCCAAGTACATCCGCATCCAGCGCCAAAAGGCCGTGCTCCAGCGCAGGCTCAAGGTGCCGCCACCAATCAACCAGTTCACCCAGACACTTGACAAGACCACAGGTTTGTTCAGTATATTTACATTATATTACTTTACTTAGATTTGATTTAATAGCCATGATGAATCTGACTAGCATAAACCTAATGTTCCTGATATTCAGTATAAATTTAGATATAGTTTTTGTTTGTTTATTGATACTAGAACGAATTAAGCAATAACATCCTTTAATTTCAATTCAAGGTTACTTGAAAATTAAACTGTCAAAAACAGTGCGGTCCCCGGTGACCGCAACCTATTGTTCTTTAATTGTGTCTATAATGACGGTACTCGACGAGTTAAAATAGGCCTCCATTAATTTATCCAAGTCTGTCATTGATGTTAAGACTAAAATTGATGAGATAACAAATGGCGTAATATAAGAAACTATATAAATATCTTAATTTAGTATTACTGTGTTTATTTTAATGTTGATTATTACTTGTTGCTAATGAGCAAATTGTAACATTATGTAGATTCGTATTTTGAAAAGGTTAATTTCATGACAATTTATGTATGATTATTGGCTATTAGGTTCCAACATGATGATCACCGAATGCAACGATGAATCACTATGATTATCAACAAAAATATACGAGCTTTTTAACTCTGAGAATATAAAAACAACTTTATTTACATCTAATTTTCTTGCCAATGATTTAATGTAAGTTTTTGTGTGTTTCAGCCAAGGGATTGTTCAAGATCTTGGAGAAATACAGGCCAGAGACTGAAGCAGTCAGGAAAGAGCGCCTCAAGAAGGCTGCTGAAGCTAAAGTGAGGCTAAAATCAATATCATAATTTTACCTAGCACTACGGACACTACAAATTCTTTTGTAAATTTACCTTTGACATGATGCATAAAAAACAATATTCAGAATGCCATGAAGACCTCTGACCACCAAGATCTCTGATTTTTTCAACTAACCTAAGTTGGTCACCACCCCCTTTAGCATAAAGCATAACAATGAAACCTCTTTGCAGATCGCCAAGAAGGATGAGCCCCCACCAAAGAGGCCAAACACCATCCGTGCTGGCACCAACACAGTCACCAAGCTGGTTGAGAAGAAGAAGGCCCAGCTTGTAGTCATCGCTCACGATGTTGATCCCATTGAGGTAAGAATTTATTCATAGAAGTCAGTAGTTAAATTCCAATAGTAGGTAATATAATACATAATTTAATACTTTAATTCTAATGTAGACAATCTAGTTTCCTTATGGCATCGAGCATTTCTTTCTTTATTGAAACAAAGAGTTTCCTTTTTCTTGTATAGAAGCACTATTTCTATGGATTGTCAGTATGCATATGTGAGCACCATGTTAGACTTAAGATCTTTATTATTTTTATTTTAGTAAGTTATTAGTATAATGCGTCAAGCGTGTCTTTGCATTGTTCTTACATATGCATACAGTATTGAAATATGTATCAGAGACATTGTAGAACATACTTTTTTAAAAGAGTAACGAATGGAGTTTCTTGCTCGTTCTTCTCCATTCGAATCTACGTTTTGGAATGAGCACCTAGCTTCACCTAGCTTCACTGACGGACTGACTGACAGACTATTATTTATTTTGTATTTGTTGACGTTTCAAAAGTACCAAACTATGGTTTAATTGAAATAAATGCTTTGACTTTGACTTCAATTGTAATAATTGTAAGTCTTTGAATTTAATTGTAAAAATTGTAAAGCCAACAGATGCAAGTTTACAAACAATTTGCTGTTTACACTAGTTCTGTTATTAAACAATTAATAATGAATTGTCAACATTTTTGTCCATATATGGATGGGGGATTGCTAATTGCAGTGATGTTAGAATTTCTTCACCTGAGGCTTTAAATATTAATTTATTTTTAGCTGCATGAAGATTGTTGACTCTGAGCCACATAAAAAATATATACATTACAGTGTCTTCTGCAATATTTTACTAAATACCTTTATTTTCCACAGCTGGTGCTCTTCCTGCCCGCCCTTTGCCGTAAGATGGGCGTGCCCTACTGTATTGTCAAGGGCAAATCCCGCTTGGGAGCCCTTGTACACCGCAAGACATGCACCTGTGTAGCGATCACACATGTATGTACTACTTTTACTCTTAAAACTTTGATTTTGGTTTTTATGATTGTGTCTAAGATGGGCATGTAATGATGATTTATTTGCTATCATACAGCTATGCTGACAACCTTTCTACCACCAATAGATTTAACTGAGGATGCCCATCTATGATACAGAATTTTTTAATCAAGTGAATACTGTGATTGTTTTATTTTCATAATTTTCGATGGTTCTGTTAACATTTTTGAGTTTTCTTTAGTTTCTATTTGTATTATATTTGAGTTTATATTATAATTTAATTACTTTAATCTAAACATTCATCACCAATTCAATACTTGATATTTAACACTATTTGTTTCTTGCCCAGGTTGAGTCTGGCGACCGTGCAGCCTTCTCCAAGGTGACGGAAGCCATCAAGACTAACTTCAACGAGCGCTACGAAGAGCTGCGCAAACACTGGGGAGGTGGTGTCCTCGGCAACAAGTCCAACGCGCGTATCGCTAAGCTCGAGAAGGCGAAGGCACGCGAGCTGGCGCAGAAACAAGGCTAAGCCTAATAAAGTTTAAGACCTAACTATTGCTGTTGTTTTCTTTATTAATCACTAATTATATTATCTCCTTTGGTTAGTAACATCTGACAGCGGCTTCATCTGCGTCGTTACTAGAATGTAAAGTACAGTGTTGTACTAATATGGCTAAGGACTCGGCGCGATTTTCTCCTGCGCCCGCCACAGTGGCGGAATTTAAAATCGCGCCGTAGGTTCTTATCTTAGCCTATCTATGCCAAACTCTAGGTATCAAAAAAAAAACAGTGTTTACGAGTTACTTTTATTTATTGATGATACATATAAATTATAATCATCACATTGCTTATATTCTATTATATTCTTGTTGGAGTTTGAGAAAGGATGTTTATCATTACTGACTACTGATTTCTTGATGTTTTGAGGAATTTTGAATATTAGAATCATAAAAAGTATTTTCCTGAAGTTGCATTATTAAATAGTTTTCGGTGACATGCACTTCAGGTAGGTGGTCATAACATAGGTCTGGTACAGTAGTGTCCTGAAATTGTGTTGATTCTGCATAGGTACATTATTTGAGGAGCAATTGATGGTGGTATCAGTAGATTGAATGATCCTTATAAACTGACGACTTATTGAGTTTTCATATCAAGCTCACGCTGGAGCTGTCTGGCATTCATTGTGTATTTGAATACTAGATTATCAATTTCATTCATCAGCACTAGTCTATCGTCTGTACCTAAGGCCTTTAATTTCTCAGCTAGCAGCTGACCATATAATTCACATGCGTTTGCATTTACGAATTCTGGTGCTCTTCGTTGCCTCTTTGGCGGAGGAAAAGCATCAGCTCCACTTAAACTATATGAGCATGATTCTGGTGAGTCTGGCCTAGGCGAAGAAGTTTCTATTGACCCATGTCCTATTGTTTCACGAGACTGTGGACTTTCCTTTGTTCTTTCCTGCAAAATAATAAGTGTTTAATACATACCTACTCAAATATAATTTAATTTGTTCTATCTAACACAAAGGTAGTGTAATCGTCGAGCAAAATAGAATAAAAATATAGGAAAACTTCGTAACTGCAGAATGTTCGCAATGGCAAGTCTGAGGCGAATTAAACGCAAAGAGCGTTTTAAGCAAGCGCGTCATAGGCGCCCCTAACTTTTTGACAAACACAAGTTAGGTACACGCATCTCACGGCGCCCATTCATAACCTGTCACCCTAGACAGTTGCCTAGTTTGCCTTAGGTACAATACGGATCAGGCAAGAGTTGTCTTTTCAAATTTGAAATTGTAAAATTATAGAGGTAGGTTCCGTACACAAAACTGATGTGCAAAAAATTGTGAAACAAGTGAATTTATTTCTGCAAATAGGCTACAAGGCAGCACTTTTACATGTCAATTTTATCAACCGAACGATGAGGCCGACATTTCCTAACTGACTACTCTGAGAATAAATGCCGAAACAAACTCAGAGGTCCTTCTCTTGCTTCGCATCGCGCATCAAAATCTTATCTTCCCAAAATCTTTCGTTTTTTTTTCCTGTATCTCCTAAGCAATAACAGAAGTTCACACTTCTTTTTGCGATCCATGTCACGACTCACGACCTAGTTTTGAATTTAAAATGGGTACGTACGTTTAGTAAGGTTGACGGTTGTCGAAGGAATGGTCACCCTGCGAGAAGCCTTGTCGCACGAAATCGCATCGCAGCAATTCGCATCGTAATTTTGTGTACGAGCCCTTACGGGTGTTTCTTAGTAGGTACCTACATAGTAACTACCTAATCAAAATTGTTTTTATAAATTTATTATGTTCCTACTAGGAGGGGTAAAAGTAGCCTAAATGTTAGTTCAGACCATAATGCATAATCTACCTTTGTTCCGAATGTCATCCCGATCCCTTCAGCCGTTTTGGAGTGACTGAGTAACTAACGAACACAAACTCACATTATTATAATAGAGCGGTTCGAACATTATATCACGGTTAGTTTCAAGTGTTTCAAATGTGTGGAAGGCACATAAACTTTTTAAATTTGATTCTTTTGATGTAGGTACGCAGTACGCATAAAGATATCGACATGGTACCTTTTTTTTTTTTAAGGGGGAAAATCATCAAATGACTGCTCCCGCCTGGGTGAGGCGGGAGGGAGTGTCAGACTCTTACTGACTAAAAACCACCCCGTTCCTTCTCCTGCGCGTCGAGCCGGAGCCCCGGTTACCCGTTAGGTTCTCCGCGACTCCGAATCGGCATCGGCCCTATTGGGCCCCATCTGTGGTGGTCTGATGGCTCTTTGAGGCGCGCGCGGAACGCGACGCGCCGTACGCTCGGGATCGACACGGTACCTATGTGTGTTCAAACATGTATAGGTACTTACCTACCTACTTAATTATTTGAACACGTCTTGCAGCGCCAGCCTTACTTTACCTACTACCGCGTGCTACCCAAGTACTTATAAAAGATCTAACAAAAAATAAATAGTTACCATAACTTCGGTAGAAATTGTCACACGATACTTATAAATATCACTCAGAAAATTATCAAGAGCTTCAAACGCAAACCATGAAGGTTTGTAAATATCTTCGGCACTACATTCAGATTTAATTGAGTCATTTATTTTTTTTAAACAATCTCTGTACTGTGTCAGTAACGTATTTCTTTTTCGCTTCAATTCATCAACAGTGCAAGGCACTGAAAACTCGTGTCTAATTCTGTTCCAGGCGTCATGAAGATTATTTCTGTTTTTATGTCCATTACGTTTCGGGTCCCATATATCTGGCTCGCCTTGCATCAATTCTATAAACTCGAGAACGCTCTCGTTATTCCACTCCATCGTTTTTTAGCCGACAAATACAAATTGTCTATAATGACACCTTACGACACAAGACAGTTCTCAGTGGCGACACTCGTGCAACTGAGCATCGCGTCGCGTCATGCCGGCGCCAGATGTGCGCACTTGTTTGATCATTTCATTGAGTTTGTCCTTGCCACACAATGTGAGTGAACACACTAAACACAGCTGACATTCACACCGAGACGCGACGCGACTTTACTGGACGGCTTACTGTATGTCTGTATCTGTACCTAAATTACTTATGAATACGATAAAAATCGCCACGGAATGGCAAAGCGCACTTGACTGTTCAAATATTATACTCATACTCATACCAAACTACTTGGCGCCATAGAAATAGATTACTTTATAACGCCACCTAGGTTCAACCGTACGAACTACTACTACTCCAAAGCCAAACAATCTTCGGTCGTCTGGTTTATATCACGCCGATGTATGTTTTATTTTTCAGACACTAGATGGCGTTAGCAATCAATTACCAAAATCGAGTGAATAACTAAATTCAATAATCAAAATAATAATAACTGAGTTTACGAAATTGAAAACACACGCGTCAAATGTTTTTTTTATTCTTAAACTGTCAAACACCAAGCGGTCACCGGTGACCGCAACCTATTGTTCTATAATTGTGTCTATAATGACGGTACTCGACGAGTTAATTGGCTATTCACTCGCCTGGTGGTAAGCGATGCTGTAGGATGATGCTGTACATCGGCCAAACGATGGAGTACCTACGTTTGCCTACCAACAACAGCCTATTCACTCGTGTCAATTCACTTGAAGACAAGGTGATGATAAACATATATTTAATTTCTACGTTAAGTTCTCAAGTATGTGTCTCGCCAACTCATCACGACCAACAAGTTTGGCACAACAATTTCCGTGAACTCTATGCTCATCGTATTATTGCTTAGGTTCCGAACTAGAACCACAGTCTATATTTTTATACTGTGCTGTGCTAGAACCAAAAGCTGTATTCAGAGTAACAAGCATTTTCCAAATTAAACTTAATAAAAACATTGTTTCTAAACTTCAATTGATTTTATTTTTCGCCTAATATTAGTACCTACTTACATTCTGTTTATATTATAACTTTCCACTTTCATGAGACATACTAAATTTATTATTACGTTTTCGGCTTACTCACGTAACTCTTTGACGAGGAACTCGACTAGTTTCAAGCCATGCTAGAGGCTCATATTCATGAGCAGCATCCCGCGACCCGCGACGCGGTGACTGTCGCTCTGCTACTGGCTACTCGAGTCTGCGTTGCGGCGGTGCGGGCCCAACTTACGTTCTAGTAGGTAATTCATTTCAGGGTTTGTATACTATACAGTTGTAGAAAAGATTATGTGATTAGCTCTTACACCTTTACAATGCGTTTACCGTACCGTAGGCGTCTCCAAGTGTAGTCTTCACAGAGAAAATGTTTGTTAAACCTACATCTATTTACCTTTGTTATAAAGTAGTAGGCAGAGGTGCACAATACGGCACTTAATGCCACTGTACAATGTAACACCCACTTTTCACTATTTATGTTACGAGTCCAATGTAATAGGGGGTGAGTCTATTCGAAATTCTAAATCCAACTCGAGACGCCTTGCCCGGCAGTCGGACTTGCGAACTCGGCCAACGAGGCAGTGTATGTCTTGCACAAATCGAGGACTGTATTTTAAAGGTCTCAACTACATTACACCTCTGTAGGAAATCTTAGTGTACATACGAACAATGTTCTTTTTTGTATAGTTACAATATAAAAACTATATCTGAGGCTAAACCTAGCTCATTAAGTTAATCTCCGAGGCAATGTTTGGAACACGCGCGTTCTTTAGTTCGGTTCTTCCTGGATACATAAAAAAATAGAGCTTATTGATTGTAAAGGAGAATTTCATAAAGAAGGATATATTATTTTGTAGGTACAAATAATGTATTTATTTATAACAGTTGTAACATTATTATTATTTTTTAAATGTAACAATATCACTTTACATTTACATTTATTGATAAGAATTTTAATTAAATAAATATATACAACTTAGAATATAAATAACTAAAACTAATGTATTTACACCTTTCAAAAAGTAATAAATAAACAAATTGCACATGAATTTGATTCACGTTTTCATTAATACTTTTTTTAACGTGGCCCCACTCTGTGATTTTCTCATGTATCGTGGGTGCGTTTACAAATATACAATTTCACATACACATGACACCCAGACCCGGAATAACAATCTGTGGAAAAAGTTGCCCCGTGTGGGAATCGAAGCCGTGACGCGGCAGCCGGTTGCCCAGCCACTGCACCAACTGTGCAATTAACACATGAACATTTACTTATTTATTAAATTCTGATGTATTTACATACATTAAGTCCATTTAACAATAACAGTCCACACTAAACAGGTACGTATCTACCAAACATTTATAAACTCAAGGCAATTTTCCGTAAGAACGAGATTTTTTGCTAATAAAATTACGCAGGCGCTTACAGAGATAATTTTCCCCGTAATCTGTCGTTCCTACAGATAGAATAGGCGGTTCCCATCTGTACTTCAATAGATAAGAACACAGTAAGCGGATGAAACCTTCCATCTATTCAGAGCTCAAAGTCTTTTGTGCGAAATTTCTTTGCATCCATTCTGCTGAGAATCGCCCTCGCTCGGCGGTTATTTTAAAATTATTTTACCTGAAACGTTAAAGTGTTTTAAAAAATATTTTACGGAAAATTAGCCTTATATTTTTCTCTATAGGTATATTCAATTCAATAATCGAATTAGAAAATAATGTTAATAGGTGACCTGACTATCTATGTACCTAATTAGGTATCTATTCTTGTATCTAGAGCCGCGGAGAACCTAACGGGTTACCGGGGCTTCGGCTCGAAGTGCAGGAGTTGGAACGGGGTGGTTTTTTGTCAATAAGAGTCTGACACTCCCTCCCGCCTCACACAGACCGTCACAGACGGGAGAAGCCATTCGATGATTATACTCCCTAAAAAATAAAAATTCTTGTATCTACCTACATTTCCCTTTTCTGATATTAATTTGTGCCTTTAAAACAAAGGCAACTGTATTAATATTTATAATATTTATATTAACTCCATAGATATAAAGATAAGAGTAGACAAATCGGCTACATATTTTTATTAAGTTTAAGAACAACAGTCGATTTTGAACTGTTTAGTAAATCCCATAATAAATTCTCACCAAAAGCCAAAAAACTTAGATAAAACAACAGGTAACGTACAACCTACACGATTCTTCTATTTTCCCTCGTAAGTGGAAATCTAAGCGGTATTAATTCGAAGAGTTGGATCGGTTCCAAGTTCCGAAGCCAGGTGCATGGAGATAACGTATGGAACTGAAGTTTTGCACTGAAGTTCCGACAGCCACGTCGAAAGGTTAGCCGCGTATGTCCGTCCAAACTTGTCTTAACGGCTCGTATGTATTTGAAATTTAATTTCCGAATATATGTGTTCCAAATTTAACTTTGGAATAATGTTTTTGAAATGTTTGATTGTTTTTTTTACTTTTCTATGGAAGTTGTGCTGTGTAGTTAGTCGATTGGTTAGTCTTGTGTTGTAATAGTCGAATCGTATTGTAATAAATAAGTTTTTTTTTAAACTTTTTTGATTTTGGAAGGTTAACTAAAAAAAGACAAATAGCGTTAAGTCTGTCCAAAGTCGTCTACGAACATGAAAGTTTCACCCCTCACTTTATCAACCACTCAGTAAGTAGGAGCGCAGTGTAGGCAGCAATTAATAGGATTTGTCCGACCTAACCACAACAGTACAATTTGACATTTATACTTTAATTACTTTTACACTGGAAGTGTCAATTTACGTAGGTAGCTCTAACCAAATCTATTTATTTATAACTTATGGACACTTAAAGCCCACTGGGGCTATAAAATCCAATTTTTATTGCTCTTTTATCGCCTTTAGAAGCGATCAACTGAAACTCTTTAAACATTCCCTTGAACTTGGTGTTAGTTATTGATATGTTTTTGTAAAGGGCCTTTTTTATTTTTTTTAAGTGGGGATAATCATCGAATGCCTGCTCCCGCCTGGGTGAGGCGGGAGGGAGTGTCAGACTCTTAACTGATTAAAAACCACCCCGTTCGTTCTCCTGCACGTCGAGCCGGAGCCCCGGTTACCCGTTAGGTTCTCCGCGACTCCGAATCGGCATCGGCCCTATTGGGCCCCATCTGTGGTGGTCTGATGGCTCTTTGAGGCGCGCGCGAAACGCGACGCGCCGTACGCTCGGGTCTGTTTCTGGTCGGACGGGGAGCCACCCATGCTCGCCGTCCGCAGGCCCGGGTTGTAAAGGGCCTAACTCGACATGTTAAAAATGACGGTTCTATGGTGTGCTTCACAGAATGGCTCGAAAGCATTGCATTTTCAGGTACCTAACCGCACAGATATATTGAAGAAGATTTTTTTTTATATTTCTGTGGGTAACCGGCTGCCGCGCAATTTGAATTTCGATTCCTGCATGGAACAACTCTTTGTGCGATCCACAGATTGTTGTTCTTGGTCTGAGTATCATGTGTATGTGAACTTGTATGTTTGTATACCGACGCACGCACCCACGACACAGGAGAAAATCTTAGTGTGGGGCAACGTCAATTTAATTTTTTTTTAAATAAAGAAGGTTGAAGTGACGAAACTTTTTAATCTAGCTAGGCCAGGGGTGGCTAATTCGATTAGACATAAAATCCACTTTTTACTAACGAAACTGTACGATCTACCACTTTCATCATTTTTCACTATTTATGTTATGAGTCCAATGTAATAGGGGGTAATCGATCCTATACCGTCATATACCGGGTACAATTTCAGACTCCGTGACACTACTGAGATTTTTGTTAAACAACCCAGTAATACTTTGCACGAAAATCGAACCCGAGACCCATTGTCGTGGCAGTCTTTACATACCTTTACTTCGTAAATGAAACAGCATAGTGTTTAGTACATATTCATGAAATAATTTTTATTGAATACTTTATTTTTAATTATAATTTATTTATAATTATTGAATAATAAATGTGATACGAAAAGGTCGTATCACATTTATGATTGTTTCCTTAATTAATACTTTAGAATGAAAGTCTCGAGTTTACGATGTTTAATCAACATTTATAGGTCTTATCTATATCTTAATGTGAGCATTGTATTGCAGTTTCTTCCACTAATTTGGCATAATCAGGTTTGTAGTGTGAAATTGCGAACCTTAAAGAATCCAATGTAGGTATGAGCGTTTGTCAAATCAATCGATTAGACTAATGGTCGCGATCGTTGGCCGCCCCTGGTCTAGGCTATATTAGATACAGATACAGTGGGATTTTAAGGCCACATTTGCTATAATTATTATACTGACCACAAATAACTTAGGGTATGGCCATATAGACCAAAGGGTGATACTTTTTTGACAGTCTTTGGGGAAACCGTCCGATCGTAAGTTTGGCCGAGGTAGCTCCTATATTTTCTGGAACATAACATAACATAATATCACACCTTCCATCTCCGAAGGGGTAGGTAGAGGTGCACATTATACCACTGTACAATGTAACACCCACTTTTCACTATTTATATTATGAATCCCATGTAATAAAATAGGGGATTCTGGAACATTCTATTCTAAATAATACATAGTATTCTATAGTAAATAATAATTCTAAACAAGAATATTATTAAAACTATGTAGACCATTCCTATATTTCCTTTCCATTGCACTATAAACATTTTCAGATCCTCATTAAATTAGATCAAAGCTATTTCCAAGAACCGTAATAATTTTACATCTTAGTAACGTCAGTAATTGTACTGTAAACCCTCCCATTTATTCCAAAATTGATACAGAGATTTGCATGCGGCTTTGTCAATCAAAAGGTAAACCTCTTTGATTGACAAAGCGGCTTAACGAAGGAGAAAACAGATCCGGTAACACAGAACAGAAATAGAACTAGCGGAAATGGCGAATGACGTCCCCAATCCGACTGCGATTCTAATTGCATCCTTACTAACAATCAAGAAATTGTCAACGGCTATTATGCAAACGTAATAATAAACACCTTTGCTAATGGTTCCGTACTCATTCAGTAGTACGCACGCGCCAAACCACCCGAAATGTAACAGGTACTGTGAACTCTATAGACGCTTTCGCTCAGTCGCGAAATGTCGGGAGAGCCGCGCAGGCGTGCCGCCTGTGCCTCCTGAATTAATCCCACATTCATAAAATAAAAAAATTAAAACGTCAAATAAAACCCCGCCAATTTGTAGATTGAACTTCGAAAATGGAATTTGATTTTTGTTTTCGCGGATTTCCAATATGGCGTGATTTAGTGGAGATGGTTCGTTTTCTAAGTGGCGTGTATTGACTTTTTGTGTTTTGTTTTGTGATAATTTGTGATAGCGATGCCAAGTGGATATGGGTGTGATAATGATAACTGTTTGTGGGATTGGATTGCTCAATGCATCGGACTCTTTGGTAAGTTAGCTAAACGTGTGAGGATACCGTAAGCATTCCTTTGCAGCCGCAGGAGAAAGTGTTCATCATGATACTCGATACTAGTTTGAAACTCATTTAAGTGTAACGGTGTAAGTTTCGCTGAAGGAAATTTAATATAAAGTAAGCAGAAATTCCGAGACAACTCTGAGAAAGGATCAGAAGAAATTTTAAAAGAATATTTTACGAGGAAACTTGCACTAATTTATTATTCTACCCAGATAGATTTTTTAAATCTTAACGACTTTTCGTTATAATAATGTCACAGTTATTCTAGGAACTCGATAGTTACGTGGTTTTTCTACTTAAACCTGGAGTTTAAACGGATGAGATTTAACTCTACTTAGAAACTAACGTTTTGCTTTAAAATTAAACAAAAATTCCGAATAATTGGTGAAAATCTGAGACGGTACCATGCATACCACGGCACACCTAGAATTCCAGGAAGATATGCCGAGATACAGACAATATAGTTAGATACTTCAAATTTACAAACGATACCACGAAAGGCCAATCGTGTGTTGATGTGCGGATACCCAAATGTTCTGAGAAAGATGATGTGAAGGTCCTATTTTATCGCATCTAGTTAAGTTTCTTGTGGACGATTCGACGATGTTTCCATGTAGAATGTGTCTCATACGTCTATGGTACGGTGACCACAGATTATGAAACAGGATCTTTCGACAGCTTCACAATATTAATAAGTTTTAATCTTGTTTGCTAATTAAATGTAGATACTATAGAATGGAGATCTGTCAGAATCAGGATTAGAAGAAAAAGTATCATATACAACTGGATCTTTGTGATCGAAATGAAGGGAGAATAACAAACTGAAAAAAGCCTCCTATATCATAAAATGGGTCTCCCAGAAGCAGATTTTTGTGATCAAAATAAAAGGAGAAAAACAAACCGGATAGAGAATTTAGTAGCCAAAGCTGACCCTTACATTACCCACTCTATACAGTTCTGTTTTTTTTTAGTAGAAACTAGTACCCAAGATAATGGAAATCAATGACCATCCTTTACCACTCAAGTTTTATCAGACAAAGTATAGAATACGAGCTTGGTACGTTCTAAATAAATATCCTTGGCGATAGCTGATGATGGTCACGTAGGCAATTGTTTCGGGGCATGTGCCCATATATCAGGTTTACTTGCGATATTGCTAGTTTGGATCCATTCTGCGGTTTTGAATGAAACCTTTTTCTAACCAAGGCTTGATACATTTATCTGTCTCCAATATTTTACTGAAAATCCTTCTTCTTATCATTGTCAGGAAATTAATTGACCGGCGAATAACCCAAAAGTTTCGGATATTTACTGTGAGTCATGGAGACTTCAATGGTGGTTTCCAATTGCATTTTTCTCAATTTTTAAGTATATCGACTGTTAAAATGCGTTTCATACAATTTGAATTCCCGATAACCTTTACTGCTGTCGCGGAGAACCTAACGGGTTATCGGGGCTCCGGCTCGACGTCCAGGAGAAGGAACGGGATGGTTTTTAGTCAGTAAGAGTCTGACACTCCCTCCCGCCTCACCCAGGCGTGAGCAGTTATTCGATTATTTTCCCCACTTAAAAAAACCTTTACTGCTTTTGCAGTTCCTTGCTGTAATGTGTTGTACGTAAGTCTTGTACTTGCTAGCTAGTCAATATCCAAAAGATTGTTTATTAAATGCAATGGGGCATTATTGTTCACTAATTCTCTGACAATATAAATTGAGAACTTCGTGGGGATTAACGTCTGGTTTTTCATCTTTGAGAACTTTTTTTTAATTAAAATATCCCGTCTTTATGTTAATAGATTGAAATGAAACCTTTTAGAACTACATTGAGATAGGGCATGGCCATCGAGATTACAGCTGTCTCCAGCCAGACTTATTGATTGAACTGTAATCTCATTAGCTCGAGCCAGTCTTGTTCGGAGCCAAATCAAACTGCGATCAAGTCTACAACTGCATTAACTTGTTGAAACTATAAGCATTTGCTTTTACTTATTTTATCAATTTGACAATGAAACTTGCTTTTTTCTACGGCTTTATTCGACGTTTGTCATGCCGTAAATTTCCAATCTCGTAGGAGTTTTATGTGATCGCTTAAACTTCTGTCTTATGAAGAAACTTGATGTGATGCTGCTAGAAAATGCATGCCGAGAATCCCCATTTCGATCAGTAGATTCAGCTACTTTGTAATCACCACATATATATTTGAATCAGTCATTGGTAACGGAAGAGGTTTGATTCTGGAACAAGTTAGTTGACTGAAAAATTCGAAAATATGTAAAAGACTCTGCAATGACTACAATAGCAAATAAAATATAAATTTTTTTCATTCAAGATAATTAAAATTTGAAAATTCACGGGCTAAGTACTTCACAGTCTTAATTCTCATTCTAACCAAGCTTACTTTTAAAACATAACCACATTTATTATTTTATTATTCCAGCTCTAAATATTAATGAGGATAATTATACAAACACCGACCTCTTAAGATAATATTTACATAAATTTTGTCGCAAAGATTACACCTAAGTCAGAATTCAGAACGTTAAGGAGTCTAGACAAAAGATAGCTTCGTCGTTTGGTACTATTATTATATTAAATGCGAAAGTTTAGATGTCTGGATGTCTGTTACTATCTTTAATCACACCACAATGACTGAACAGATCTTTTATTTGAGATCGATTGAAATTGGAAAATAACACAAAGAAAATATAAAAAGACCTAAGAGAGTACTGATTAAGTCCTTTGTAAGCCAATATGTCTAATTCCTTGAAATCCTTTTCCTACTACTATTTTTACTAACATATTTCGTTTTTATAATAACTATCGTGAGACATACTAAATTAAGTAAAAACGCGGGTTACTCACGTGAATATACTGAGAAAAGCTCTACTAGTTTCGAACCACAGAGGGGTTCTTCCTTATGAGCAGCGTGCGCGACGACGCCGCGACCGCGCACGCTGCTCGTACTTATTTCGTATATGGATTTATGGAGGATATGTTATATTCACCGCCAATTAAATCAATAGGCTCACCCCTTATACTACATGGGACTCATAACATAAAATAGTGAAAAGTGGGTGTTACATTGCACAGTGGCATTAAGTGCCGTAATGGGCACTATAAAAGGCGTGAAGTTTAGTTAGGTATGTTATGTAAAGCATATGGAGACAAAACCCGTGAAATTGCTCTTTGATCTCCAAAAACTTCCATGTGAATGAATACACAGATAACGATTAACTAGACAAGACTCAATGTATTCTAATCTCAGTTGTATTCAATAGAACGTGACGTTAGAATAATCTAGTAAAATAATTGCACGTCAACATTTCGGCTATCGGTTGAAGACGCGATCGATTTCTCGTCGAAACGAGGCGGATTTTCGTCATTTTCGTTCTTTTAAGGATCAGTAGTTCGGATCTGTACAATAGCGGATCCAATAATGTATTGGTATTGGGACGTAGTTGAAAATGTGTGTAGCTTTCATCTGTACTGTACTGTTAATATTCAATGTTCGTTTTTTGAGAGTTGGAGTTTTATTCGGATTGTGGTTTTGATATCTTTGATGTTCACTTCGGATTCTGAGATCTATTGAGTTTACGATGATTAAATTTAGTTATCTAATGACGTTAAGAGCTCTTAGTGTCATAGTTTTGATTAATTAAGTATGTATCGAAAGGCCCCAAGGAATGTTGAAGTAAAAATAGTTGATATTTATTTCAACATTCTATCTATACACAGATAAATTTTGAGTGTTCGTTTGTAATATTGAAACAACCGCTATTTACTACATGCATAAAAATCTATACACTTCTTACAATTTTTGTCTGTCTGTCTGTTTGTATTGGCTAATCTCTGAAACGGTTGAACCGATTTTGACGGGATTTTTATTGGCAGGTTGCTAATGTACTAAGGAGTAACATAGGCTTATAGTTTACTTACTACTTCTTTAGTTTAAAAACGCCGAAGAAGTTTAGCGTTCAGCTCGTTATTAATAACATCAGCCAAACAATAGTGTACCTACTACATTTCGGTCTATCCTGTAGAGGAAAACAGTAGTACTGTGTTTGTTATCTTTCTTTCAGAAGAGGTTGTAAAAAAATCGTAAACTCCTGCTTGACACACCAACCGCCAAGCTACCCTTTTACTACCCTATAGCTATAGCCATCCCGGTTTGATCGATCGCATGCAAGCCACAACTTAGTTACCATGCCGAAAACAAACGCTATCATTAATAAAACATCGTTCCCGAAATATAAATCTACTTCAACAATTTTATTTCGACATTTTTACGTAAGAAATTTAAAAAAAAAAACGAGGAAAATTTGTCCTGATTCTATTGCGAAGTTGTATTTAAAAGAAATATGAGTTGAATATTAAAAAATATGGTGAATTTTTCAAACATTGCCAGCCCACTAACCCAGTTTCCTTGTGTCTTCTGCGTGGGAAGATTACAGCTGACAGTATTTATCATAATATTCTTGAATTTAACGAATAATAGATCATTTTCGTCTTCATTTTCAGCCAATATTTTTATATGGGTATTAGAAAACGGTGTATAAAAGAAATGTACATTTTGGTTTATCGTTATTAAACGAATGAAATTGTAATATATTTAATTATATTATTAAATTATAATATTCCTTTTTGAATGGAGTGTATAGAAACCTGGCACCTGGCTTATTTAACATTTTTTATTAGCTGATAATTATGCTAGAATCGGATCGTTGTGGCCCGGAGGTTTAGGACGCCCGCTTCTCATGCACGACTTCTTCCGAGTTATATGTACTTTCTAAAATTAGTTAAACACCACTAACAAGCGGTGAAGGAAAACATCGTGAGGAAACCTGGGATTATAATTTCTAGTTATAAGTTTGAAATCACCAACCCGCATTGAGCAAGCGTGGTCATTAGTGCTCTAACCTTCTCCGTGTGAGAAGAGCCTTTGCCCAGCAGTGGGCATTCATAGGCTGTTGATGA